TTATTAAATGAAAATTTATGTATAATTTCTACATAAATTTTCATTTAATAAAGGGTTCCCCTGCCTTAAAAAGTGTGAAAACCACTGATGTCTCTCTCTCCTATTACCAAGAAAATATCAGCTATTACCCACTCTCTCCCTCATTGCTACCAAAAGAATGCCAGGCACCTCTTAACTACCTCACAGAGGTAAGAGGTGTTCCATATCAACATTAGGGAGGCTCTGTTATTAATCATTCATTGAACAGTGAGTCACAGTTAAAATCCCCCTACCCTGAATTTGAAAGAATGAAGGGGAATTTTACTTACCACAACCAAGAGCATCCCCAGGCCTTATGGGGCATTCCCATGAAAGCTGTGTGCCCTGAGTTCCTATTTATGTCAAATTGCTGTCCTTGAGTGGATTCCAACTCATAACAACCCTACAGGACAGAGTAGAACTGCCCCCTAGGGTTTGCAAGGCTGTAATCTTTATAGAAGCAGATTATCATTCTTTCTGACATTTTGGTTAGCAGCCAAGCACTTTAACCACTGTGCCACCAGGGCTCCTCTAAATTTATTTAAATTAACTATAATTTAAATTCACATCACTATTCAAATATCTTGTGCTCAATATCACATATGGCTATCAGCTACTTTTTTTTTTTTTTTGAGTCTCTGCCCTCTGATTTCTGACAGTGAAGATATATAACATTTCCATCATCACAGAAATTTCTGTTGGACAGTACTGGTGTAGAGTCACCCAATTTAATTCTTAATTATTTGGTTGACTTCACTAGTCCCTGCACTGCCAGCTGCATCGTTAGACTCCCAGAAACCTTCTCATTCAAGTCTACCTTGGTCCCAGGATTCCTGGAGCATTGATTTTAGAAGTGACTGAGTAATTTGTGAAAATGAACATAAATGAGTCTGTAAGGATGTTCAGAAGTTTGTCTTTATTCTCAATTCTGTATCTTATTCGTAAGTGTGTCCATCCTGCCTAGTGGAGGTAACAGACTGTGGTAATTTCCCTAAAATTTTTCTAATTACATAAATATTCCATTAGGGAGGGCTTTACTGGTAAAATTACATTAAACATACTGCATTCTTGTTTTGTTTCAAGAAAGGACATATTTCTAGCCACTTTTCATCTGTTGTTATGTGCTGTCGAGTCGGACCCGACTCATAGCGACCCCTCCTTGGGTTTCTGAGGCAGTATCACTACGGAAGTAGATTGCTCCATCTTCCTTCAGAGGAGTGGCTGGTGGGTTTGAGCCACCAGCCTTCTGATTAGCAGTCAAGTGCCTTAGGCATTATGCTACCAGAGCTCCCACTTTTCATCTGTACACTACAATTCAGACCTACACCTAAGATCTTATACTATGGCACAGAAAGTATTTAATGTAAACACACCTTCAAAACAGAATTTCAGAGCTGGAAAGATCTTAGGAATCATCCCATTTGACATCTTCACTTTTCACTATAGAGGGTACAGACCCAGAGAAATTGAGTGACTTGGCCAAGGACACATAGTGACTCAGCAGAAAGTGGAACCCAGGTCACTTGGCTCTCATTTTAGAGCTTTTCCTTCTATTTAACATTGGGGCATCATCTTCTTGTTAGCTTCTTTAGTGCCCTACAACTCCTGTTTACTCCTCCTACATAGCAAACTCCTACAGTATCATTGTAGGGCCCCCATTCCACTTTCTGAGGCACTCTGAGTGTTGACACACTATAAGCTCAAGCATGTTCTCAAAAATATTCTTACCAAGAGATAGTTTCCCTAAAAATGTCCCTTGGGCTTCACACCACAAAATCACCTCAGCAGTAAATAGAAATAGGAACCTTTCCCATCTACATTTAACAGCCTCCAAGTAGGTACAGTTTCAGTTTCACAGCCAAATGTCAGAAGCACTCTTCACTGTACTTAACTTTCCAGCACTCTTCACTATACTTAACTTTCCAGGCAGGTGTCTCACAAGGACGTGTACTTTATGCCTTTATAGTCCCATAGTGTTTAATGTATTATCCATGCAGGAGGACTAAGTAGTTAGTTACCTCTCAAATGGGAACTGGACTTGAAAGATATAGTCTAGAAGGTTGGACATCACAGGTTTCCAGATTCTCTTTCTGCTTATAATCTAGAGTAGGGGTCAGCAGATAAAACCTCTGGGGCTGAATGTGGCTCACTGCCTGTTTTTGTAAATAAAGTTTTATTAGAATGTAGTCACACTTATTCATTTACGTATGGTATGTGGCTGTTTTCATGCTACAAGAGCAGAGCTGAGTTGCTCCAAAAGAAACTACATGGCCCATAAAGGCTAAAATATTTGCTCTCTGGTCCTTTACAGAAAAAGTGTCCTGACCCTTAGTCTAGAGTCATGATGTGGTACCAGATAAACCACTTACAAATTCCTGCTCGCTGTTTACTTCCAAATGAGGTGGGGGGAAAATCCATATCCAGAAAGACCTTGCCAACCAAAACCATTTTTATAACCAATTACAGGTGTTTCCTTTTAAAAAAAGTGTGCTTATTAATAGGAAAAAAAAATGTTTTTAAGTATATTCAGGTGCTTTTCTCTTTTGCGTTTTCTTGTTCTGACTTCTGTTCTATTCAGCCAGATACATCTATACATACTTATCTAGGAGAAGACTGGGGTTGTCACAACAGGAATGAAAAGACAAAGAAAGAATTCAAATTTTGCTTCTCATGTCCAAAATAAGGTTTTCCAGCAACACGGCATTCTTGATAGTCAGGTTTTGTTGAGAAAGAAGATTTTCTAGATTTCTTTATTTTCTGTTTGCATTATTCATAGAATTCCACATTAAAGTAGATCCCAAACAAATAGGAAGAGAAAAAAGACAAAGCCCACCTCCTCTGATCCTGGATGATTGGGATTATGGAAAGAAGAAGTTGTTGTTGTTGTTATGTGCCGTCAAGCCTGATCCGACTCACAGCGACCCCTCCTTAGGTTTCCGAGGCAGTATCACTATGGAAGTAGATTGCCCAACCTTCGCCAGCCTTCTGGTTAGCAGTCAAGTGCCTTAGGCACTATGCTACCAGAGTTCCTAAAACGAGGAGAGCAGGTATTCAGACATATGTCTCAATCTCTCCTCTCTGAGCCAGAATCATGGTTAAGAGCATGGACTTTGAATCCAGATTGCTTGAGTTCAAAACTTCCAACCTTGGGCAGTTTTTGATGACAGTAACTCTGTGCTTCTGTTTTCTACTCTGTAAAACAAGGATAATATTACCTATCTTGCAGAATTGTCATGAAGATTAAATGAGTGTGTGTTAAAGTGCTTAGAATAATGCCTTTAGTATTATTATGGGTGGTATTACATAGATTTTTAAGGAATGCTGAGGAAAGAACAGGTTCTATATCTCACTCTCATTTTGGAGATCACCTCAAAACTGCCCCTGCCCAACCTTGAGCAGCTCATCAAAACAAACTCTTTGCCAGAAGAGGGACTGAGCTTGCCTTTCTCTAATGACCATCAGTAGCCCTCAGTTCCCATGTGCCCAAGGAGTGTTAGGTCTGGTAGAATTTCCAGAGGAGAGCATCTCAGAGGTGTTGATCACTGAACTGGTAATACTGGGATGGGAGCTCATACAAGTCACAGCCAGGTCTCAGGATGGTCCACATCACTGTGAAAGCCAAGATTGGGCAGAGTCAACAAGGGAGAGCACTAGGCCCTGAAGAATAGGATGACCATGAGTTACCACAAGCATCAGACACCAGGCTAGCAGGAGACGTAGGATAGGACCTGAGGGAAAGCCCAGCCCCACTTAGAAGCTCTGTAGTGAAAACTAGCAGAATTGGAGAAGCTACAGTATACCTCTTCCACTACCACCGGTTTATAAGCCACACCTCTCCCCAGTACTTCTAGATGCCATCATCTAGGGTATGGGTGGGATACAAATCTGAAAGACTGAACAGAACTAGGTGTTTACCATTTAAATTACTGAATCCATATGCTCTTTAGACTAGACTAAAATATAATCCTTATCCCATTGTCCAACCCTCCCTCGCATATTGCCTAGCAGGATGGAGACTTACAAGGACTTTAGATCACTTAAAAAATAAAGATAATGCCTGCTTTGTTTTGCACATTTGAGTGTGATGAGAGTAAGTTTGTGACTCTGCGACCCCCCCCCAAACACACACACACACACACACACACACACGCACTCCCTAACTCTGAACTGGATTACTGCTGTCAGTACTGCCCCCATGCACACTGACAGACACACCCACACCCACACACACACAAGCTTGTGTCTAAAACTAGCTTCAGGAACAAGCTAGAAGAATTTTAGTCACTAAAGTAAACAGGAGAAAGAAAGCCTTTCCAAAAAAAGACTCACCTGGTAGCTTTATTTTAAAAATAAGGAAAATGCAACAACTAGCATAAACCAGATTTGAAACAACTTTATTCTGCTCTCTCCCTGACTAATCAAGGTTGTTACTGAGCGTATCAACCAACTTGTCCACGAAAATTTATTGTTTACTCATTTTATACAATAAGACTTCTGCTGTGAGGCCTATAAGGTCAACTATGCCTTTTTTAACTTTTAAGGATAGAAGGAACAAGAAAGAGAGCAAGAGAAGTCCCTAAGCTTTGGTCCTAGAAATTTGCTGGAGGCCACCCAGCCACTTTGGTGACCCTACTCAGCTCCACCAATGTGAAGTCAGACAGCATGCTCAGACTGCTGGGGGTTTTTTTTTGTTTGTTTGTTTTTTCTTTGATAAATGCTTAGGGTTGCTCTGGCAGTAAAAAAGCTACTGGCTCAAAACAGGCTGAATAACTTCAGATGGCTACGCTGGGACTGGAGAGGCATTAGAGCCACTGGAGAAAATGCTGTCACTACTAACTCGAAAAGCGACCTTTCAATGTACTACATGCTCTCCCCCAGCACACACATGTACACACATACACACACTTGTGTGTATATGCATGTGTATACTTCCCCCAGAGGCTAAGTCCAAGACGGGCATCCCACATCAGATGGATGAATAGCAGGTCTGTCCTGCCAGCTGTGTGCTCTCTCCCACCCAAAGAAATCAGCAGAGTCAGACAGCAAAGCCTGGAGTAGCCCACGCAGTCTGTTACCAGCACCCGTGCATTGAAGGGACTTGAGGGCAGCAGGATGGAATCAGAAAGACAAATCACAGACCTTCAAGTAAGTTCTCTCTGGTAAAGAGAGGGGAAATTGGGAGCAGAGACAAAATTGGAGGAAGAATGGATTAATACTTTGGTCACTTGATATTCTCTCTCTCCCCAACCACTACTCTCTTCTCACTCATCCCCCTTTCTCCAAACACTCCCTACCCTGCCTTGCCAAGGCATTGTCTCCATTCTCTCTTTCTCTCTGTTTCCCTGTCTGGTTCTTCACTTGTTTTGAAATGTGTGAGAAACAGATTGTTTAAATCCCTCTTGCCCTCTGCTTCCTCATGTCAGTCAAAGAGCTAATTAGATCCGTGTTACCAGAAAATGATTTCACATGCTGTGCAGTGCCTTTCTCCAAACCCCAGGACAGCAGAGACTTATTTGAGAACTGACGAGTAGTTCTCTGGAGACAAGGAAAGATATGAGTTTGGGTTAAGAAGAGAGGTTGCTAGCCAACTTTGCATTTTACAGGTTGGAAAAAACTGGAGCCATTTCTCGGCTCTCTTTACAAAGCTCTCCTGTGTAGGACAGAGAGCGTCTCATTCGGACAGTCCAGGGAAAGGAATTTGTATAGTCTGCTAGAAAGATACAGAAATGTGTGTCCTACCCTACCTGGGACTGGAAGGCATCAGACTACTCTCAATTCCCTAGTGTAGGGGAAGGAATGGAATGTTGTGGTGAGAGTCAGGTCACTGGAATCGGCACTCCACATTTCTGTCAACTGAAAAAAGTAAAATCAGCCCTTCGGTAAGAGCATGCACAAAGGGTGTATGGTAAATTTGTATAAGAGTTGGACAATTTAAGGTTGGAAAAGGATTTTTGAGATCAACCATTTTTGGTCACAGAACCTGTTCTTCAAACAAAAAAAGCAGCAACCCAGTATGTACTTCAGATTTAAAAGGAGGTGTTTTTATTAAAGCATCGTGTGTGTGTGTGTATGTGTGTGTGTGGAATGGGGTGGGGTGGAGTGTCCATGTGTGTGTGTATGATGTGTGCTGTGATGTATGTGTGTGTTGCATAGAGTGGCGGGAGCCTGACAGAGCTCTACCCAGGGCCCCTCCATCTCTGGCAGCTGCCTGAGACAGCACCAGCGGACTTCTTGGAATACTTGAGTGCTGTATCAAAACCATGCAACTGGTACAACTGCATACACAGAGTCGTTTTCCTTGATTGTCATCCAGTCCCCAAATGTGGTCCTACCTTAGGGCTCGCTGGTTCCTCTGCCTGGAATACTTTTCCTCTGACTTTTGTTATTTGGCCAGGTCTTTCTAGTACATTCACGTCTTAACTCAAATATTTTTACTGCCTTGGAAAGACCTTCCTTGATACCCTCTGTATTAGAACTCCCCTTTCCAGATTGTATCTTATGTTTTATATAGCACTACTCACTATCTGAAGTTACAATGTTTATTTATTATTTATCGTCTCTCTCTTCTGAACATAAATATCATTAGAGGAGGGCCTCCTCTGTTTTATTCATTGCCCTATCCCAAGTGCTCAGAGCAGTGCTTGTACACAGAAAGGGCCTGGACAATATTTGTTGAATGAATAAGTTAAAGAAACCATGATTTAGAGAGGATCAGTAATGTATAAGGTCACTCAACCAGACCATGACAGAGCCAGGACTCCAACTCAGGTCTTCTGAACTGGGGTGTATTCTCTATCTCTGTTTAAAAATTAATTAATAGCCTTTAATTTTTAGTGAAGTGTTAGCTTTACAGAAGAATGGAATAGAAAGTACAGAATGCTCCCATATACTCTTTCCTCCCCATTATAGTTTCCTCTCTTATTAACATCTTGCATTAGTGATTCATTTGTTACAATTGATGAATGTATAATGACACATTATTAACTAAAGTCTAGAGTTTACATGGGAGCTCTGGTAGCATAGTGCCACCAGCCACTCCTCAGAAGGAAGACGGGTCAATCTACTTCCATAGTGATACCGCCTCGGAAACCCAAGGAGGAGTCACTATGAGTCGAATGGACTCGATGGCAGTAAGTTTGGTTTTTTGGTTTGAGACTTTATATTAGGGATCATTCCTTTTATAGTTCTAGAGTTTTGACAAATGTATCCACTATTACAATATCATACAGAATACTTTACTGCCCTAAAAATCCTGTGTTCCACCTATTCATCCCTCCCTTCATCTCCCCAAATCCCTGGCAACTATTGATCTTTTTAAATGTCTCTATAGTTTTGCATTTTCCAAAATGTCATCTAGTTAAAATCATACAGTATGTAGTCTTTTCAGACTGGCTTCTCTCACTTTGCAATATGCATTTAAGGCTCCTCTGTATCTTTTCATGGCTTGATAACTGACTTCTCTTTATCACTGAATAATACTCCATTGTATAGCTGTACCACAGTTTATTTATCCATTCACCTACTGAAGAACATCTTGATTGCTTCGAATTTTGGGCAATTATGGATAAAGGTGCTATAAGCATTTGTGTACAGGTTTTTGTGTGGACACAAGTTTTCAATTTATCTGGCTATATACCAAGGAGCTTGAATGCTGGGTCATATAGTAAGAGTAGGTTCAGTTTGTAAGAAACTGCCAATTGTCTTCCAAAGGAGCTGTACCATTTTGCATTCCTACTAACAGTGAATCAGAGTTCCTGTTGTTCCACATCCTTGTCAGCATTTGGTATTGTCAGTGTTTGGGGTTTTAGCCATTCTAATAGGTGTGCAATGGTATCTCACTGTTGTTTTAATTTCAACTCCCCAATGATAGATGACATTGAACATCTTTTCATATTCTTATTTGCCATCTGTATATCTTATTTGGTGAGGTATCTGTTCAGATCTTTTGCCCATTTTTTAATTGGAATGTTTGTTTTCTTATTGTTGAGTTTTAAGAATTCTATCAACTTAAGGGCAGTGAATTAGTTAGTTAGTTATGTATATTTTGAATACAAATCCTTTATCAGATGCGTGTTTTACTAGTATTTTCTCCCAGTCTGTGACTTGTGTTTTCATTCTCTTCAGTGTATTCTCTTTTTACTTCACCTAGTTCTTACCTCCATTGGACCCATAGTAGCTAAGGAAATAGTATTGTTCTTTTTAAATCTCAGAACAACAAATTTTTTATGTTCTGATGGGTTAAACAATCCTTGTTATAGCCTAAGGACTTTGTGTTTGAACTAAATTTTCAGAAGGAAAGAGGCAGGTGGGACTAAGGAGGAGGAAATTACTGGCCAGTCCATGATAAATATCTCTATTTCAAATAGATAACTAAAGTGTTAGGGTATCTTCTCTTCTTCATTAGAGTTATGCTCTCTCTCTTAACCCGTTGTTTTATTCTGGTATTTTATTCACCACCTTCATCTGGTCATTTTTTTCATCTGGTTGAAACAAAGATTATCCATTAGTTTCCACAATTCCTTGTCCCAACCCTCTGGCTTAAGTAAGATCTTGAATCCTCTTTGAGAACTGAGTAGCTGTGGTCTTCTGAAGAAGGTGAGTTTTAGATAAGGGCAGGCAGAGGCATCTGTCCCCCAGAAGCATGATTTTACCCACTCTTCACATACCAGATGCTACATGAAATTCAGAGGAAGAGAAATATATAAAGGCCCTAGGGAGCTCTGGTGGAATAGTGCCTAAGGCATTTGACGGCTAACCAGAAGCCCGGTGGTTCAAACTCACCAGCCACTCTCGGAAGGAAGATTGGACAATCTACTTCCATAGAGATATGCCTGGGAAACCCAAGGAAGGGTCACTATGAGTTGGTTTCGATTCAACGGCAGTAAGCTGAGCTGAGCTGTATATATTACATTGCTGCTAGGTCAATTCCAACTCATAGCAACCCTATAGAACAAAATAGAACTGCCACATAAGATTTCCAAGGTTGTACTCTTTATGGAATCACATTACCACCTCTTTCTCCTATGGAGTGGCCGGTGGGTTTGAATCACAGACCTTTCAATGAGCAGCTGAGCACTTAACCACTGTACCATCAGGGCCAAAAAGAGTTTACCCGTGTTTTATTGAGTATGCAAAGGCATTTCACTGTATGGTTCATAACAAATTTATGTATAACATTGCGAATAATGGGAACATTGGAAGCTATACATAGACCAAGAGGCAGCCATTCGAATAGAACAAGGGGATACTGTGTGGTTTAAAATCAGGGAAGGTGTGTGTCAGGGTTGTATCCTTTCATCATACTCTGTCAATCTATATGCTGAGTAAATAACTGGAGGAACTGGCTGAACTATATGAAGAAGAATGTGGCATCAAAATTGGAGGAAGACTAATTATTAACAACCTGAAATATGCAGATGACACAAGCTTGCTTACTGAAAGTGAAGAGGACTTGAAGTACTTACTGATGAAGATCAAAGACTATTCAGCCTTCAGTATGGATTACACTTCAACATAAAGAAAACAAAACTCTTCACAACTAGACCAACAAGCAATATCAAGATAAACAAAGAAAGGATTAAAATTGTCAAGAATTTCATTTTACCTGCATCCACAATCAATGCCCATGGATGCAGCAGTCAAGAAATCAAATGACAGTCCTCATTTGAGTTCATCTGCTGCAAAAGATCTCTTTCAAGTGTTAAAAAGAAAATGTCATTTTGAGGACTAAGGTGTTCCTTACCCAAGCCATGGTATTTTCAGTTGCCTCATATGTATGTGAGAGCTGAACAGTGAGTAAGGAAGACTGAAGAAGAACTGAATGCCTTTGAATTATGGTATTGGCAATGAATAATGAATTGCCATGGACTGCCAGAAGAACAAACAAATCTCTCTTGGAAAAAGTATAGCAAAAATGCTCCTTAAGTAGTGAGGATAGTGAAACTTCATCTCACTTACTTTTTGACATGTTATCAGGAGGGATCAGTCCCTGGAGAAGAAGAACATCATGCTTGGTAAAGGAGAGGGTCAGCGAAAAAGAGGAAGACCTTCCATGAGATGGATTGACCCAATGGGTATAACAATGGGCTCAAACATAGCAATGATTGTGAGGATGGTGCAGGCCAGGAAGTGTTTCATTCTCATGT